AACTATATCAACCAAGACTGCAATAATGTCTGTAGTATCGAAATATGTCCAAACAGATTCAAAGTGTCTATGTGGATTGTGCCCGACCTATTGCTACGTATACAAGGTGTTATAGGTTCTGAAATCATTCTGAAGATCAGATTATGTTTCTACTAAATCACCCAAGCCTAATTCAATATCTGTAGTATCAAAATATGTCCAAATAAATTTACAGTGTCTATGTGGATCATGCCAACCTATATTCGTGTATGCCAAATATTTCCTAAGGATTTCCATATCGATATTTCGATACTACAGATCATAGATCATCTGGTATACGTGGAAATAATTAAACATTATCCATATAGCCACTACGAATCTGTTTGGACATAATTCGATACTACAGACTGTAGCCCAGTCATGGTTGATCTAGTAGAATAAATCATCTGAACTCCAGAACGATTTGGAGAACTCAAACCAGCTGGTATACATGGCAATAGTTTATGCATGATTCACATAGACACTGTGCATCTGTCTGGAAATATTTCGATATTAAAGACATTGTCCCAATGTCGGTTGATCTAGTAGATCAAATTATCTGAACTCCAGGACGATTTGAAGAATTTACATGTGGATTACTCGGAAATAGATCATGCATGATCCACATAGACACTTTGAAACTGATTGGACATTTTTCGATACTACAGACATTATTGCAGTTTTGGTTGATCTTGTAGAAAAAATCAAATTTGTAAAACCTATAATTTCCAGTACACATAGTAATAAGTCGTGCATGATCCACAAAGTCACATATATATGATTCGGTTATGATTTGCCAACGAAAATACAATGTCTCACCATTGGACAGACCCCAAGGAATATCTGTGTAAATACAGAACCGCGACGTGACCAACAAGTGTGACTTATGAAACTCTGGTAATTTCTCGATTATGTGCAGGGTTTTTGGTTTGAATCGGTCAAAAATTGAGAAAACTAGTGCCAAATTAACTACAACATTTAGGACAGCAAAATACGTCAGAGACGCAAAGGTTAACTTTCAAGAAAATTTGCATTTCAAATGAAAATGCATTTTTTTAAATAATGCTTCATCAAATCTAGGCCTGTATTATTCAATAGAAACATTCATAAACTAGGGGGTGACCCCGGCGTAGTGGTTAACATCCATACCTCTCACGCCAAAGTCACGAGTTCAAATCTCACCCCCGGACAAGTCACGAATGACTCAAGAGTGTTAAAGTGACCATAATAATTAAAAAAAACCTTCATAAACAACTGAATTCTTTTTCCAAAGGATACAAACGATTCTCCTTTAGCTCAGCCGGTAAAGGCGCAGCTACAAAGCGAGGCCATGCTGGAGGCGACTGAGTTCGATTCCCGTGCGGTCTATTAATTTTTCGGTTTGACAAATTTCTCTACTTCCTTGGGCATAGAATGGTACAGGCATAGAAAGCTCTCAAATCAATGTGAAGGTACTTCAAAGAACACTAAATCTAATATGCTATATGCAATAAGCTTGAAATGCCATGTAGTAGTATACAAATGGTATTTTTAGGTAATGAAAACATTTTTTTTTGTCGCGGATTAGTATTTGAAGTCGCGGATTTCTTTTGAGAAATCGCGGATTTCGCGGATCAAATTTAGAAAATATTGTAATAGCCCTGTCTTCTAAACCATGGACACTTGAAAACTGACAAAAGTCGTAGAACAAGAACTTTTGATTCAATTCTTGATTTTTTTTTAATACTAACTTGAAAATCACAGTAAATAACTACACACTTAGAAATAACTACTTTTACACGAGACGTTATCCATATTGGACGTAAATCATTAATAATAATAATAAAACATCAGCTAGTCGACGAAGAGAACGTTTGATTGAATTGATTTTCACGTTTCTTGCAACTGATTCTCATGTCAAAAGGCCATCTTTTTGGTGGGGGATGGTGACTTCTATGGCTCCGCTGGTCGCTTTGCTGCGATTCTGGGTGGTGATTTCGTAGGCTGTGGTTTTACAGGATTATTCTTAGCTGTAGAAACTGCGGAAGTTGCACATTAGCAGGTGACTTTTGTTGTACTGCAACTGATTTTGGAGCCATGGTTGGAGGCTTTGGAGGAGTAGATCCCTTAGGTGATTGCGCAGGTGAAGGTTCTGTTTTTTTTTTCTCTACGGGACTGGGAGTAGGAGTAGTTGCAGCAGGTCTTCTAACTACCACACCTTTGGGTAGATTATTCAGAACATCTCCGACCGTTTTCGAGCTGGAAGCTTTCGCGGGAATTTGCGCTTTCTTGAAGAAAGCGTCTAACTTTTGCTGTGTAGCTGATTTTTGTGCATCTACTGTTGGAGATGTTTTTGGAGTTGCTGGTTTCGAAACTGGTGGTTTTTGTGCTGGCACTGCTGTCGATTTACTTTTGTTTATAGGTTCAAGTTTTTCATTTTTAATGAGAACCTCTTTTGGTTGTAATATAAGCTTCTTCCTTTTGCAGCTCTTCGTCGTCATAGTAGCACTCTTCGTCAAGTTGACAATCTTCATTTTGCTCCTCGTTGCATTGTTCCTGTACAAGTCCATCGAGTCTTCTCTACGGTAATTTCGGTTTTGATCACTTTACCCCGTTCTTTTTGCACAAACTTCTTCTCCTTCTCCTTTCCGCCCTTGTTGATAGAGATTTCCTTGATTATGAATTGCTGGGACGATTCTGAATCGTCCGTTGAGTTATTAGCTGTTTCTGTACGGTCCATGGCCAACACGGACAAGTGTTCCTTCTGACAGTGAGTGTCCAGTTTTTGTTCGGTAGTAAAAAGTAAATCACAATAATCGCACGCATATACCCTCCGAGTGCTCCTTGATGTGTTCCGTAACCTGGTTCAACGTTTCAAGGTGCTCACGACACAACGGACACGTTAAACTTTTGGTGGCATGCTCGACAGAATGGTAGATTAGGTCGTCTTGGATTCGAGCTACCTCTGTTATTGTTACGACAAAACAATTCTAGATAGATCTGGAATTAGGGCGTAACAGCTTTTGTAAACAATGACTTTTCTTGATGATTTCAAGGAATTCAAGGTACTCCTACGCATAGCAACATAACTATCGGATACGAAAAGTTTTTCCCTATCCGATAAGGATGTTGTTTTGCGTGAGTGAGCCTAGAATTTCTAGAAATCATAAAGAGAAGTCATTGTTTAAAAAAGCTGTTAGGCCCTAATTCCAGCTCTATCCAGAATTAAGTGTCTTTTGGAGCGAAATGCTTGAGAATTCATGCTTAAAAATCAAAAAGTTCAGCAAATCTTCAGGCTGACAAAATCGGGGAAAAGCTGACAAAATCGGGGTACACAAAATCGGGAGCTGACAAAATTGGGAATGCACTGTATCATTTTATTTTTCCTGAAAAGATTTTTTTTACCTTCCATTTAATATTTTGATCTTTGAAATCGACCGAGTGGTTCAAAAGTCATAAATGTTTGAAAAATATAATTTTTGAAAAAAAAAATCGGTATTTTTTAAACCCGAACATGAAAATGGTCACCCTTATGAAAAAAAATACGGGTTTAATATTTTGCGATAAGGAACAACACTACCAATTTTTAGGAAACTGCGTTGTAGTTTCATTTACATACCTCATCTTGACATACCTACATTTAAGATTTAAACATGGTTTTTACAGCTCAGTTGAATTTCAATCACATCATGTTATTATACCGAAAATGTAATTTCTGCGAAACGAAGTATTCTGTTGTTCCTGTTCTCCAATTTATTAAATATAGGATATTAACAGTATGGTCTACTCTTACATTTTCTCGGAGACACGTCTTTTTGAGAACACGAGCGCCCTTGCGTCTAGGGCAGCTAATGTATTCTGAAAACATTACGAGGGATGCTTCAAAGCCTTAAAAAAGAGAGAAACCAAGCTTGTTCAAAAAATTACTATCATGCCAAACATTTTTCCCTGTAGGTAATAAATGAGTTAAAATTGTTATTTTCACGTGTAAGTGTAAGTTTCTAAAGATGAGCGTTTTAGCAGTTAGAAAGGCTTTCTTAAATTTTGCACCTTTTACTCATTGAGCCTTATTATTGCCCATTAATTATTTAAAACATATATTCTTAATGAAGTAATGAAATTGGGTTGTTAGCGGAATGCTAAATAAAACAGCAAAAAAGGTTATCTTCCATTTAATTCCACTTAATTATTTTTGGTATCCATGACAGATACGTATTTCGACTACAATGTGCAGTCTTCATCAGTGTCATTCCCACTAAAGAACTTATCAAAATCTAACCCCCTTAAGTACTCATCCCCTAGGTAAAAAAGTCAAGATCATAGGTATAAAAATGAAACTACAATGTGTTGAATCGAAACCTACCTAACTAATAAAAACCAAAGATTTAAGTAAGCTAAAGGAATAAAATCTATACAACTCTCTAATAAGAAAAATCCTCAAAGGCTTGGTAGCCATCATAATGAAGTAATGAAATTGGGTTGTTAGCGGAATGCTAAATAAAACAGCAAAAAAGGGTTATCTTCCATTTAATTCCACTTAATTAATTTTGGTATCCATGACAGATACGTATTTCGACTACAATGTGCAGTCTTCATCACTGAAGATGATGACTGCACATTGTAGTCGAAATACGTATCTGTCATGGATACCAAAAATAATTAAGTGGAATTAAATGGAAGATAACCTTTTTTGCTGTTTTATATATTCTTACTTTCTTAAGGATTTTCAATCAATTGAAAAACAATTAAAACTATTCATATAGTTAGTAAATATAATATGAAAGCTCTGGCAGTCGAAGCTAAATAATACAAACAACTGTGAGATATTTTGTTGAATATTTAGTAGACTACCTTTTATATATTTAACTTTAAATAGCTTACAATCATTTAACCGCATCGAATGTTCCCGATATCATTTGTTTCGGTTCAAACTCGCATAAAATTCCTGAATATATCGTTTATTGCTGCATTTGTTTGACGAAACTATTTTCCTCTCGTTACAGAAATTCCCCGACAGCAAGGAAGCCACAGGATCCGGCAGAAACAAAAGCAAACAACAACATCAATAACAACAACAGCAACAACAACCTACTAAGTGGTGCTCGTACATACACACATACACACAAACGCGACCTACTACGAAAACGAGCAAGCAAGCAAGAAGAATAAAAAGCACAAACGCAAGCAACGAAACTTTTTTCCTCTGATCCTTGCCCGGCACTACACTTGCATCATCAGCTTTTCACCACCAAAGTCAGAGGCGGTCGATTGCAGCGTGCAGATAAATTTATTATATTTCTACGAAGGTAAGTGAAATTTTCTTGACATATTATCGAGAGTCCTCCATCCACTGCCAATGCACTGCTGACAGTGTTTCGCTTGATTCATGAGCTCCTTCACCGCGCTAGGAGGACACAGTGTCTCCTTTTATCAGAGCGACCACCTCCCCCACACAAGCCCTGTTGTGTTTGAAGAAGCAGCGTGAGAAAGAAGCCGTATCCTCCTCGGTAGTTTGATTTTGCTACCACCACTACTTACCACCGGTGGCGGTAAAGACGGTGGCTTTCTCACCCACACGATGCCCGTTGCATGGTGAGGAGCAATCGACTGGAATCCCAGGGTTTCGGATCCTGGTGCGCTGAATTGCGTAGTAGTCTTCTTCCAAGAGCGTCAAGGCGCCAACCAGTCGCGACATACAGCTTCCGAACCTCCCCGGGGGGGTGCCACCACTCGTTCACCGTTCTTATCCTGGTTTGCCTTGTAGCACGGGAGTTGCTCCACTGCACAGTGGGGATTTTCGGAAAAAAGTGGATTAAAATTTTGCTGTCACTGAAGTCCCAAATATGATATTTATTAAATACAGTATGTCGATATGATACTCTATTGGTAAATTTGGCACTTTGTTACATTCAAAATGGTAAATTTTTATTTTTACTGAGTTGACAGAAACAATTCTGAGGGATTATTTTTATCGCAGGAGAAAGTTGTTTGCAGTAGTGTAAAGACCTAAAATAAAGCAGGCGCAGGGTTGCTGATTGGAGAATTTCATATCTTTCATGGAATTTTGGGGTAGAATAGGTTCGAAACAAGTGCTACCATAGCATGTGCCGAATGTAATTATACGAAAAAGATTCCTTGAACCTTTTACCTAAATGATAAATATATTTCATATTGGGACTTCAGCAGCGCCAATTATAATCCATTTTGTTACCAAAATCTCCACTGTGCACGGGTTGGATGGGTTGTCACTTTCGGTGGCTTGGAAGACAGCAATGAAATGGACTACTAAAATAAACTGTTTGTAAAGTTGCACGCTTTATTGTAAGGTGAATTTAAACTCTGCAGTAGACTTTGTAAAGTTCATTAATCTAATTGAAACGATCTCAACTTCAAATCTTGAGCGCAGCACTTGTGTTTATTTTCCACTGAATGAGATAAGAATCGTGATAATGAATAATAATTGTAATTTTGACACAAAAACAACCAAATATAATCTATATGAGTTTTGTAGTAGAAGATTCCTAAATTAGTGATGTGGATAGAATTTGAAGAACAGCGGGAAACATAAGCCAATCAGATTGGAATCAAAATATTTTAGTTAGCTATAAGTAAAGACGTAATTTGAAGTAGTCAGATATAGAAAATCACGTTTCATCAAAATCCTTTGCGAATCCATTGACTCTACTCATTGGTGAATTATACTATCACGGCTTAGAACACTAGATTTATAAGATTTTGAATAAATTCAAGATCTGCAATGTATGTAAAAAAAGCTCGTTGCTAGAAATAACCTATAGCTCTCAATATAAACAAACTGTAATTTTAAAGCTAAAAGAGTTAAACTTATGCAGTAAACATATCAAATCATAAGAAATTTCCTCATCTTCAATGCTCAAGCTACATTCAAAGAGCACTTTAAAATTCAACCTCGCTATGAACCGTACAGCTTGTGACACATATCTTAATCGTCCGGGAACTATCAAATTACCACACACCTCTGCTCTGTCCTCAATCCTCAATTCTCACGTACTGATATTCCAACTGCGATAAGACCCAACTCGGAAACGGAAAATGATTACGCGCATAATAGGAGATGGAAGCAGGTGGAAACACGCTACCTTTGTCGACAGCGCCCAGCTAAAAAAAAAAGCAGTTCAAAGGAAAACTTCTACTGAAACGACTCGGAGAAGGACATCGAGAGAACAGCACAAAAGTGAGATCAAAAATGTAAAATACCTTTTACCCGCTTCCGCTTCTGTACTGCTACCTTTCTTCTTCTTCTCCACATTTCAAGCTTATTGCATATCGCATATTAGCTTATTGCGTGCTCTCAACTTAGTGTTCTAGATGCACTTCCACAGTTATTAATTTAGAGCTTTCGATGCCTGTACCATTTTTGCATTGGTATAATTGTGTGGCAAGTCCAATCATACTTCTATGCCCAGGGAAGTCGAGAAATTTTCCAACCCGAAAAATTCCTAGACCGGACCGGGAATTGAACCCAGCCACCTCCAGCATGGTCTTGCTTTGTAGCTGCGCCTTTACCGACTGAGCTAAGGGAGGCCCCCTGCTGTACTGCTACCTACAAAATTAATAAAGCGGGAAAGAGAAAGGAAACGGAAAATCACACTTTTTCTCGATTCTTTGAACTTCCCGTGGCCTTTTCCTACTTCCAAGATTTCAACGATCTGGCAATTCTATTTAAATTGCAATATTTTGATATCTGATTGGTTTTCTTAAAAAATATTCCTAAAAAACCTAAACAAATAATCTCAGGACCGAAGCCACGCACCCCCAAAACTGCTGCTGCAGGTGAAAGTCCTTCACCCCAAGTCCAGCCATCCTTGAACAAAGTGCGAGCGCGAGTGGGTGGCGACACTCTGGTCAAGCGTCTTTGTCGACGCCACAGCCACCATGAAGGACATGCTATAATGCAGAAACCGTACCGACGCCGATCCAAGCTCAGTGAAACTTGGCAACAACCAACCGACACAGCCATGGCCAATGTTTGATGATGTGTTGTCCTTTCGATATCCTGTTTTCGTTTGGCGGTCGTCCTCGGTAGCTTAACTTCGATCGGCGAGGCGGGGAGCCACGTTAAGGGTGAAACAAAAATGCATTATCATATTTTGACAATGGGGCGAAGACTGCGAAGCGGGAAAGTTCAAGCTAGTGCTGTAGTTGCTGGTGGATTATCATCACTTTAGTTTCAGTAAACCGAATGGAAGGCGGATGAAGGCATAATAGAGTTTACAGTGGCGTAAGGAGGGAATTTCTTAAAATGCACACAAGCAATCATAGGCTTTAAGAGAAACTTTGCATAATTGTTTGTTGTGGGCTTTTTTGTTATAATTTGACCATTTTGGATCTAGTAAAATTGACAAAATGGTGTTCTTCAAATTTTCAAACAATTGTAGCATTCATAGTGTTTTTATGTTACTTCATACGCGAAGTTTGCAATTTTCAGAGTTGGTTGGAAATGCTAACATGAAGCTTTAGTGTGATAATTTATTAGCTAGAGAATGATCTTTAGAAGAGGGTAGGTGGATAGTTCCGTTAGATTACGGCAGTATGATCATTGAATAGAAGTTGAAAATAAGCGAAAGGCCATTAATGCGACAGTACAAAGTCAAACGCACACCTTTTGCCTACCCCGTACGATGTACGCGGATATTTGAAGTATTTCTTCAAATCTACAGGCAAATCTATTCCACAGCCGTAGTTAGTAATGAGCAAAAGGGAGACGCACACCTTTCTATTGTTGATCCAGATGTGAGTGATTTGAGATTTGGGCCTAATTGTTTTGTAAAAAAATACGCCAATCGCTGATTTCTCGTGAATAAAAGCTCAATTTCTTACACACAGTATAAAAATGATTGTTTGTTTATTAATGTATTTGATAAGGCTCAACCGAATTAACTTTACAGAGCCAAGGATTCCTGTTCACTATAAAATACATCTTAAAACTATACTCAAAAGGTACAACACAATAAACATTTTATCTTCCGCTATCCAATAAGCCTCCTCCACCAGAACGGGAGCCGCTTCCAGCGAATTCATTGTATGGCAGATTCGCCAACGGGGGTCAGAGCGCTTTCATTGCAGCAATGGACGCAAAACGTGGTCAACACTCACACATTCATCACAAACCGGTTGCTTTGCAAAGTCGACGACGCATCGACTGAAATAACTGCTGATAAAAAACAATGAGGAGGACCACACAATGGTTGCTGCCGAGTAAACAGACGATTGCGTGACACACATTGAGAGTGGTCTGTTTCTGTCGACATCCGAGTGAACACTCATAAAAAATGATTGAGGGATCATTATTTTACCTGAGAGTGTTATTAAATTTCGAGCTTCTATTCGTAAAAAAAAGCCGAATGAAGAGTTTGTTACTTCTTCTTCTTCGCATTTCAAGCTTATTGCTTATCGCATATTAGCTTATTGCGTGCTTTCAGCTTAGTGTTCTAGATGCACTTCCACATTTATAAATTGATAGCTTTCGATACCTGTACCATTCATTCATTAGTATAATTGTGTGACAAGTCCAATCATACTCTATGTCCAGGGAAGTCAAGAAATTTTCCAACTGCTCGAATGCCTTTTGAATTATTCTAGGAATGGAACTCATATGAACTCTCTTCCAGAATTTGCTTGGAATTATTCTTGGATTATTTTTCATTATCCTCATAATGCGATTATCTTTAAATTCTATTAACAATTCATTGAATCTGAAATTCCTCAGAATTAGGAGGAAGTCATCCCAAAAAATCAAAAAGATGTCTTTGAAATACCATGGAATACCCTTGAAATAATTACCCTACTAAATCATATTCAGTGTCATAGAGAGAAACTGCTACGCCCTTGGCTTAGTTGACGACCCTATCCTAAAATATTAGATTTAAATGGAATGATTGACGTGGAAAGTTGATTTGTTTCAAAATATTCTCTTTTGAAAATTCTTTTAAAATAGTCCTTGTTAAATTTCTTGACTATTGCGCGGACGTTTCCAGGTTCAATGGAAACGTCCTTGCAATAGTCAAGAAATTTAACTCAAAATTAACAAAAAGATCTAGTCCGGACACTCCTGAGAGATTGTCTGGAATATCACAATTTACCTTGGATTTTTCGAAAGCGACAGAACTTAGAATATCTTTTTGAAATCTTGAATTTGGATCCACCCAAGATGAAACATATTTTTATTTTTCAAGATTATGATACCTAAGGAAATATTTAGGGTTCTGAGGTTTAGACTATTATTATTACTAAGGGGACATACACCAGTTATGGCACTACTTAAAAT